TCACTCATTCCTCTCAGTCTGGGCCAGATTCTCTATCCTGTCTCATCAGCAGTAGACTTTCCAGCATTCCATTGATTGACTCATCACGTTCATGACCCTTGCCTTGACCACGACCACGCTTTTGCCTCAGCCCTCGTCTGCTTTTGCTCATCTGATCAGGTACCGACTCATGCTCTTGTTTTTTGACTCTCTTTTTGGATCACGTACTGGATACTTCTGCTGAACAACTGACTTCACGGTATGAACTCTGCCTTTCCCTTCTGACTGTTTTTTGGATCACGGATTAAAGGTCAAGCTCATTCTGTTTCACGGACTTATCCTTATCCCTGAATCTGATTCCCACAGATTCATTTCCCCAATTAGTCTCTTTCCCCCTGCATCTACTAACCTTTATCTTTTAGTTGCAAGCCTGTTGGACTCCGTTCCAGTGGACCTTAACATCAGTTCTACTTCTACTGGCAGCCCGCCACTACAACACTACCCAATCACGAACTACCAATCAGAAGATCGGAACCAGCCCAGAACCGGACCTACTCCAGAGTTTTACTTTATTTCACAATAAATCTTTTAACCCTCTCAGTGGTTGTTGTTGTTGTTTGCGATCCGGCCTCTGGTTCATGACAGGTGTAGTAACCAGAGAACTTCAGTTCAGAATATCTGAACCATCAATTTATTGAACGCTAAACTGTATAAGGTTAATTCAAGTTATGTCTATTCAAATTAATTTCAATGCTATCGTTAGTGGATAAAAGCCACAGTAACTACATCCAAATTTTTAAACAGAATCCAGCTGCACTTCCTGTCTTGGTTCTCATTACTTCTATTTATCAGGGAAATTAAATATGTTGAAAGGCCACATTTGATCAGGCACTAATGATCGCATTTCACTTACTTCTTTCTGCCACAGCTGCAGATCTTTGGAGAAAAAAAGAAAAAACAAACTAGATCAAAAATGCTGTGAATCAGACGTATAAATAGACAATCTGTGTTATAAATTTCACATTTATTTTCTTTAAATAAATGTACCTCTGTTGGTTGTGTTGAGCTAAATATACATTAAGCACTGTGCATTAACCAGCCACTTTATAAGGAGTTTGAGTTGTTTTAAGAAGGTAAAGAGATGTTCAAAGAGGTATCTACCACAGGTAAGATATTTATACCCTTTCAAACCAATTTTCTGTTTGAATAAAAAAAATCCTCTTGACCTTCTCCAATTAAGTTTATGAGCGGAGTTTAAGCCTAATGATTGTCACACAGCTGCTGAACATGTGTGGCTTAGCTGTAACTTACTTAAGCCTCTGGAACTCTGCGAAGGCATCATCAAATGCTGGAAGAGAGAAGACATTCAAATACATTGTGTTTGGTTTAGTGGTGACGAGGTTACTTTAAAAGTTTGATCGTTTGGCATGAGACATCCTAAATGATAAACAGATTCAAATGTCTGCAAAACCTATAAACAGTGGTTATGAGAATCATTCAAAGTCATTATAAAAACTGTTTAAAGTGCAGCTCGGGTTCAAAGTCAAGTTTTGAAGTGCTCACCTTGTCCAGACAGCTCCACGGTTCTCCTGAGGCCGCCCTTTCCGTCATTGAACTCGATGGCGTATTTTCCCATGTCTTTCTCTGTGGGATCGGTGATCTGAAGCCACAGCTGTTCGCCGACCACACCGCTCTTTATACGGTCAGAGAAGGCGATGGCAGAGTCCCTGTCAGGAAGACGACACACAGAAACTCGTGCACTAGGCTCAAAACATAAAAGTGTGAATGCTTATGAAGCACCGTTGTGATCCATTTTTCTTCCTTACAGTTTTCTGCATCTTTCTTGTTCCACAATTTTTGTGCTATTTCAGCAAATCATATCAAAACGTTCAGCTCATTCAGGAGAAGGGTGCTGTGACTTTTAGTATTAGTGCAACTTTAGCTTTTTAAAATATTTAGCCTTTTCTGACAACTTTTTCCTCATGGAAAAATAAATTGAGCTCATTTTACATCCTTCAGATCATTTAGATTTGTTTATATCCTTTTACTTTTAATTTTGTTCTGGGTCAGCTTCTTTCAGCTTCCTTGTGTAAATGTAAACATTTTTCAGCAACTTTCAGCTAATTTCAGAAGTTTTTTCAGCTGTTTTGTGAACCTTTTAGATTATTTCTGCTAACCACAACATTTTTGTACTTCTTCTAACTTGTTTCTGCTAATTTCAGCTTATTATGCTCCTTTTAGATCATTTAAGCAAGTTTTGGCTTTATATGTTATTTCAGCTACTATTTAGTTGTTTTATGCTAATTTTAGCCGTTTCAGCTAATTCCACATTTTTTGCACTCATTTAAAACTTTATTCAACCTAATACAGCCAAAATGTGCTCTCTCCACTTCCTTCTAATTTAAGCTTTTTTTTTTTTTTTTTTGCTTTTTAAGCTACTTTTCAGCTGGTTTTATTCATTTATTTATAGTTTAATTATTTTTTTTTAAGATAATATCCACTTCTTTGTGCTCATTTCTGCTTCTTTAAGCCTAATTGGTCAAATGTGTTCTTTTTGCTTTCTTCTGGTAATTTAAACTTGTACTTTATTTTCAGAGACATTAATAGCATTTTCTTTAGCTAATTCCAGCTGTTTTCTGATAAATTCAAGTTTTTTAGGGTAATTTCTGCTACTTTCAGCCTAATTAACCTCCTTATGCTTATTTCAGCTTGTTCTGATTTTATTGTGCTTCTTGAAGTTCTTATGCTTGTTTTATTCATTGTATATTTTAGCGTTGGTTTTTATTGTCACAGCGCTTTGTGATTTTATGTCTGTGATAAGCGCTCTATAAATAAGCTTTACTTACTTACTTACTTATGCTCTTTTCAGCTTATTCATGCTGGTTTCATTTATTTCAGCTACTGTTAGCAGTTTTATGTTATTTAGCTTTTTCAACTAATTCCAGATTTTTTGCAATAATTTCAACCTTTTTCGGCCTAATCCAGCAAAAATGTGCTCTCCACTTATTTTTGGTAGCTTTTACGCTTCTTTCTGCTAGTTTAGCTACTTTTCAGTTGTTTTTTTTGTGTGCTAATTTTAGCTTTTTTTGTGCTAATTTCCTAATTTTTGTGCTAATTTCTGCTTATTTGAACCAAATTCAGCAAATATGTGTTATTTTTGCTTTATTCTGCTAATTTAGGCTTTAGGCTCTTCCATTTCAGCTAGATTACAGAATGTTCTTTTAGCTAATTTCAGCTAGTTTTCTGCAAGTTCTTCAGCAATAAGCATACTTCATTTTCACAGGAAATGCAATTTCTCTAGTTAAACATGCATGAACTAACTCAGAACTTATTCCTGCAGTCCTTCTGAGGTTTATCTGCAGAATTACACATCAACAGTAGGAATAAACTATTTGTGGTGCACCCACTTGTAGTGCCATGTGACTTGAAGTAAATCGTTGTAGTAGCTGACGAAGGTGTAGAGTCGGATTCCTTCATCTGTGCTTGTGATCTTCAGTGGAGTGGAGGAATTAGCTACAAAACAGTCACAAAACAACCATTTAAATAAATATATTTAAGTTGATCATAAAATAAGTCCATTATATATATTTTTCTCACCAATAAAACTGAAAACTTCATTCATCAAGTCTTTGAAGCCTGCAGAAGAGAAAGATTGGGTCACTGAATGCCACCTAAATGTTGTATTAATTGAGTGACTTTAGTGAATTTACCCTGATCTGTTAGATTCAATGTGGACGTGTCTTTTCCTCTCTCATCCTTCAGAACAACCTCATACACACCAGCATCCTTCTTGGAAATCTGATGATTATATGCATATAATAAATATAAACATGAATAAATAAATCATGCTGTACTTTTCATTCTTTCTCACCTGGGATATCTCCAGTTTCAGAACTCCCTCTGTGAAGCCGAGATGTTCGTCCGCCTTGATCTCATGTCCATCTTTGGACCAGTGAGCTGAAGTCTCTTTCTTCATGTTGCCTACCTGAGGTGCAGCAGCAGCAGGGGGGTGTTTCAGAAGGAAGACACTCGGGAAACAAATCAGAGTGGAATCATTTTTTAAAGAAAATGTCTTCTCACCTTGCATTGCAGTATTACACAGCACTCTGGAGTGACCTCATAACGCAAACCTTCAATAAAGTGAGGACCTGGAAAACACACACAGAGGTCAGAATGCACATTTTATATTATTTTATTATATTTTAATTTAATCACGAGGACATTTTAGGCAATAATGATGAAAATTGGCCTGCTCCAGCCTTCTTCTGGAAGATATAGTTCATATTTTTGCTGCTCTTTGTTGTTTAATATATGAATAAAGAAAAACATTCCTAGACAAAGATATTTTAGTTAATTATGTTTCATACCTTGCTTTCTGAACCACTCTTTTCTCTGGAACTCTGATTCTTTCTGCAGCTGCTTGAACACTGTGAAAAAAAGAAGTTTAAAGTGATTTTAAATGAATTTATCCAAATCTAGCCTTAAAATCTGATGATTTCTCCTGGGCCCAAACAAATCTAGTCAACAGGGGACATAACAGCGCACTACTATGGCAGCCCACTGCAATCATTCTAAAAACGTCAGCTGAAAAAAAAAGTGGTGCTTGTTTTATTTATTGGAGCGCCTTCAGTGGTCAAATCATTTGTAGGTTATTATTTGAAAGAATATAACAAAAACATGTTTAGTTTAAACTATTAGAGAAATTTAAATTAATCAAATGAGTGAAAACGAAGTGAAAAGAGTTATGTCCAAAAATCCAAGTTCTCATCAATCTAAACTTTAAAGTGGTTTGAGTTGTACAAAATTAAAGATGATCTATCATTGGGTTTGAAAAATGTTTTTTAACACACTAAGTTTTTCTGTGTTTTAAATATTCTGCCTTCTATTTTATGAGAAAGACAAAAATGTATGCACAATAGACCCATGTACATAGATTTGTAGTTTGGTTTTCGAGCTCAACTGTAACACAATTAATAAAACATTTTACTGCCATCCAGTGTTGAGAAAAAGTCAGTGCTGTGATCTTTTTTCCACTGTCCAAATCAAGCCTATCGTACCATCCATCATCCATCCATCATCTTTACCTGCTTCTTCCTTTTTGGGTTGCGGGAGTCACTGGTACCCATGTCCAGCTACCAGTAAAAGCATCGTGAAAGTCACTACTTTTCCTTGACTTTTTGTCTGTAAGACAAAACCCTGTTCCTAAAGCTTGTCTTTCAAGTCAAAACACTTTAAATAGTCACTGCAGCCTGATCAGAGGGTTCTGTAGGAATAAAATAGTTACATCACGAATTGGGATGATTTTTAAAAATTCTATGTATGCTTTTTTAACATTTAAAAAATGGGCACGTTCGATCATAAACATGAAATATAAGTCAAAAACTTCTACATATTTGTTGTCAATCTGTTGCTGTCTTTACTCACCCTACCATTCATGCCTGTATTTTTACAGTAATTATTTCTATCATTAACATGTTTCTTTTTGTCTTTCTTCCCATAAAAAATAAACCTTGACCAGCCATTTTGTGTTTATCTGTCTTGTTTGCTTTCCTGTCCCCTCTTTCCCCAGCCAGTCAAGGAAGATGGCTGCCCATCCTGAGCCTGGTTCTGCTGGAGGTTTCTTCTTGTTAAAATACTTTCACCTTTGTGCTTACCAAGGATGGCTGGCTGTGACGTAATGGAGATGCGACTTTTAATAATTGGCATTTTATAATGTATGTGGTAACATTACAATAAGGTACACAAATTTTGATTAGCTACTAGGGAACGCCTCTGGAACGAATCAGGAGCTAATGGGTAGTTAACCAATACTTTCTGAGGAACACACAGCCAAGCCTTATTGGGGACTACTGGTTAGTTACCTTGTAAATGAAGAGTAATTAATCATGAACTAATGGGTAGTTAACCAGTACTTACTGGGGAACACACAGTCAAGTCTTGTTAGGGAACTACATGTGGGTTCTGAATAAACCCTGCACGTGAGGTCACAGCTCATAATTGTCAAAATCCTGTTTTCCAGTAATTACTTATTTTATAGACTTTTCTCTTTTGTAAACATATTGATGAAAGACATCAATTTCATAATCTTGTACTGGCGTCATCTTAACTATGTCTGACTATCACTTACTGAGTACTAAATCACTGCCTGGCTATTATTTTGGTCACTGATGTGAAGCATCATACCAAGTACTTACTGAGGAACCAGTCATTACCTGACCATTACCTACTGGTTTGTTCATGTGGTAACAAACCAGTAGTCCCCTAATAAGGCTTGACTGTGTGTTCCCCAGTAAGTACTGGTTAACTACCCATTAGCTCCTGATTTGTTCCTGAGTAATTCCTGAGGCCTTCCCTAGTAATTTTGTGTACCTTATTGTAAAGTGTTACAGGAATGTTTTTGTACAGTGCCCTGAGACATTTGTTGTGAACTGGTGTTATATAAATAATATGAATAGTTTGAGATTATTTCTTTGACTGAACATACCATCACCAATCAGTACCAAGCTGGACTGGTTTGTAGCTTTCCCATCTGTCATCTGGAAGGTGTATGTGCCCTCATCTGCTGGGGTCAGAGACTCCATAAGCATCTCAATCACACCCGTGTTCTTGTCAAAATTCATTTTGTATTTCTGTAAAAACAAAAACAATCAATAAAAAAGACCAAGTTTTTAAGTTGTTTTACAAAAAAGTGCTAAGCTTTAACTCAGATTCTTACTGACCTCTCCTTGAGAGAGAACATTGTCATTAAATACGTAATCAACTTTGCCATTCACTGAGATCTTCTCTGCCTGCAGCCAAAAGCGCACTTTTCCCTTTTCCAGCAGCTCCACTGCCAAGTCTGACTTCAGGGGAATAACTGGTGAAAAGAGGCAAGTGAAAAAAAAACTATGAGTCAGCTTAAAATAAATGACAATCAATTACATTATTATTCTAATTCTTTTTAATCATCCCCATGTTTGGCGAGCTGTGAAGCACTTACTGGGGAATTTGTGGTCGTGACTGACCTCCAGCAGCCTCTTCAACTCTGATGAATGAGACAAGATTCATACAATTTTGAAAAAAATCAACTAGTCTCAGTGATAGATAGACAGACAGACAGACAGACAGACAGACAGACAGACAGACAGACAGACAGACAGACAGACAGACAGACAGACAGACAGACAGACAGACAGACAGATAGATAGATAGATAGATAGATAGATAGATAGATAGATAGATAGA